TTGCAGATAAATACATTTTTATTCAACAGATGTATGGGAAAATGTGCATGTCAATACATCGGAGTGTATGCACATGCATCCACATATTCCGAGTATTCTGTACTCTATATGTGTAGGAGGGTACATGCATTTCTATAGACAGGAGTGTAGCCTGTGTGGCGATACATCAAACTATCCCGAATATTTTATGCTGCATAATGTATTAGAATATGTGCATGTGTGCACCTTGTGTAGCACTACATCAGGGTTATCTCCAATATTCTACTCAAGCACTCTGTTTTTCTGTACATTCTCAAAAAGAAAATAAGACTTCATGTTGCTTTCTAGTTGTATATAGCATGGTGTAAATTAGTGTGTTGAATGGTTTGTTCGGTGTCAGCTCTGAGGTGCATTTCGAGTGTACTGTTTCTTTCTTTGTTTTCGGCTATGCTTGTGACTGTGTTTTTTCGCCACTGGATTAGTATCCTAGAGCGGTATATATATATATATATGTGTGTGTGTGTGTGTTACTATCGGTTGGTATGCGTGCGTAGATATCAATAATATATATATATATATATATGCGTGTGTGTGTGTAAGTATATATATATATAAATATATATATCGATATATCAATGTATGTTACTTTCGGCTGGTACATATGCCTGTGCGAATATCAACAATAATATGCATGATATATCGACCAAGATGTATATCTGTGGTACTATCGGATGCTAATATGCGGTGAGAATTTGAGGACTTTTCAAGCTTACTACGCTTTCAGTAGGTGAGTTTGTACTTTGTCATATCCTTCCATATCAAGCATAAACAGAGGACTATGAGTTTGTGTTGTAATAAATGAGACACAAAGAACTTTCTACATAATCAAATTTTTAATGTATGCTATTACAATAAGTCAGTATACATGCGGCCGAGTGCCAGTGAATTCGTGCAAGTTGACGTAAGCAGCTGACATTTATATGTATAGCTTTACAGCTGAATCGTTATATTCGTATATTCCATGTCTATACATCTTAAAAGTATGAGACAGCCCCGCTTGTAATTCGACTAGGAGCACTTGTGCAAGCTGCCACACTCGCCAGACCACTGTCATTACTTTTCGATCCCAATGGTTGTTGATAAGCCAAACGTAAATTGTAGATGAGTAATTGGTCACCCCGGCGTATTTGCGATGGACGGACCTTGTCCTCGATTTTCCTTACTGGATTTGTAAGAAGACCACCAGAGTACACTGCTATTATTGATAGTGAGCTGTGTTCCTATGTACAACTTATTGATAGTGAGCTGTGTTCTGTCTACTAATATTGGTTGGAGGGAGAGGGGCTAAGACTTCAGACTTGAGAGGGGGAATTTCACTTTTAGTAGTTTTTACGACTGCGCCTGTGTCGGTGTTCTCGTAATCCTTACATAATACATACAAGGGTATGTCCGTAGCTATGCACCCCTCTTGATAACATATTAGTAATCCTTACATAATACATACAAGGGTATGTCCGTAGCTATGTACCCCTTTTGATAACATATTTAATTGCCAAAAGGCTACTGGCTCCCAACTTTTGGCTCAAACTCGAAGCACTGCCACAGTGCCAATGTCAGGAAACCAGGAAAGCAAAGTTTATTAACGCCCTGATTGGAGGTATTTAGCTGCAAGCTCGGCAGTATACTCGCACGAGCCGTTTTTCAGAGTTTACTTTTTTAAATAGTTTCCAATGTGCATTAGTTAAACACGTCTCAAAGTTCAGAGTTCAATTCCAGTATTCCCAATCACAGCGAATACTTTTCATAACCCACTATTAAAAAATATTAAATAATGAATAAGTTTTAGTATATTTACGGACAAAAATCGTTTTGTACAATAATCCGATAAATGTAGTGAGGGGCTCATGTACATACAGTCATCCCTCGAACCCTCTGGTCACTGGAGTCTGGAGTCACTGTCAAGAGGGCTAGGAGTCCAGGACCCTCTCCACTCTCCATTCTCCATTACTCTCCACTCTCCAGTCTCCATTACTCTCCACTACTAGTAGAGTGCTAGTCTCTCTATTAGAGAGTAGTCTCTCCTGGAGCTCACTGTTCAGACGCCAGAGAGAGAGCCCCTCAGACCCCAGGGGCCAGGGCCCAAAGTCGGAAAGTCCGGACGTTAAATATCCCCATTCCCCAGACTATAAAGAGGCCGGGGAGAGTCAGGGACTCAGGCTATTTTATTTGATGATAAAAATACATTGCGTCTCCGACGTCTGCGACAGACTGGCGGTTCTGTGAGACACTGAGACTGTGAGACTGTGACTGCGAGACTGCGAGACTTTGTCTCAGATTCTGGGACTCTGGGCCCTGGGGCCCTGGGCAGACTCTGGCTCATTACGAGTTACGACTATCGCGAAAGTCGAGAATTATTAGATGGATAGACTCTCGAGAGTAGGTTGCTATACGATGCTTCTCTATTCACCATGCAACGCTTTTTCATCGCGTTTTTTATTGGACGCATATAGAGTCTTAGAAATGTTTTACATTCCAAAAAAAGAAAATTTTGTTTTGTTTTAATTGTTTTTCTTTAAAACAATATGCACAAATCCTTCTAAAAAAAATTTTAAATTTACATCCTATTCTTCTTGTCATGGTGTTATCTTCACAAAGTGCTTGTATGTAGATAGTTAAAATAGACTGATAAGACCCAGAATGAATACCCGGATAGGCACTTTGAGCCGCGTTCACGTTGTATGCAGAGCCAACGTTTCTCCTTGAACAAGGGCGACCAGAAAATCAGGACCATATATTCCAGGTACAACCTGCTTTAAGAATCATTCAAATTTCCTATTTATCAAGTAGAATAACCAACTGACAACTACTTTAAGACCATGTTCAACTTTATGACCCTAGAAGCCTGCCTGGCAATTTTCCTCTGTGCAGTAGGGATGAGTATCGTGTATATGATTCGTGCACGCGGTGGTCGCAAGCAGCTCTCAGTGACCTGGCAGAGCATTCTGCCCAAAACAGCTTCCGGCGCAGTGGCACAGCTGCCTGCCAAATTCTTCGATGATCAGTCCTGTGTTCTTCAGATCGAAGAAAAAATGGTGCATGTTACAATTAAGTACGAGGATGCGGTGAGCGAGCTCCGACTGTTGAGAGAGGCGGACACAAAAAAACTGCAGCGGATGAATGCGGAACTGGAGGAGACTAAGTTGAAATACAAATCAGCTTATGATGAGGGTATGGCTAAACGCGAAGAAGTACAAATGGCTAAAATAAAGCTCAGCGATTACATGGCGGAGAAGGACAAATACCTCCAAGATTTGGTAGAAGAAGGAGAGCGTCAGTTGGGAATAAATGATCAACTGAGGGGGAAGGCGAAGATGTATGGTATTGAAGTGTGAGCGGAAGATCTCGTGTCCACCTTGCGTGGGTGAAGAGGAACAACTGTACTGTGCTGGTATCGCTGTGGTAGGGCCAGCAAACGGGTACATGTTATTGTGATAACAAGTAGCAGAGGCCCGTTGGGAGGAAATTGAAGTGCTACTGCTATCCATCCAGCTGGTATTGAATTGCTGCCTAACGTATACTCGACTGTAAAACGTATCATAGACAAGCGTGCTGGGGCGAGTGCGTACAGTGTGAGTTGCGCTAAGATACGTAACTAGTGTACTTTTAACTCTAGCCTGGAGACGTGGTACTTTAACCTCGAATGCACGATCACAGCAAGTATCCTTCCAACCAATGGGTCGTCGGATAACTAGCGATGTGGTTTTATTGGTGGAGGGGCTGAGGTGCACGCCCTTTTAAAGCGTCTATATTCGAAACATGAATCTGAGCGCAGGCGGGATATCTTAAACGAGTGGATCTTAACCAGGACAAACTCTCCGAACAAGTGTCAAATTCAATTGCAGGTCACTCGCCTCACTGTGCTTGCATGCTAGCTTGTAACACATAGACTAAAACGAAACCGTTCGGGTGTACTGTGTATCGGTTGAAACGCTACGGCACGATGAAACGGTCTGATCACTACAGTGCACACAACACATGCACACAGCCCTGCATGGGAACCACGATACATGGGCCGAATGCTCAGTATGTGTCTTCATCTGAAACCCTGTAGTAATATGGATAGTATATGCTCACTACTTTGTCGACCACAAGGATAATGCAACCTCGGGCTCCAGTAGGTATCTCGGACACAACACACACTATAAGTTGCGGTATGGGTCCGTGCAAAAACTGTGGCTGCACATGATATGTGAATACGTTAATACGTATGCAGACACTTCGCAAATGTAAGGATGTATATGACCATTTACTCGGTCAATCTATTCAGCTGCATTCCGTTCGGTTCATCTACTTCTCACAAGCAAGGTTTGTGCCAATTGACTGACTGTGCTGACCTCATCGGATGTGATCCCAATTAACATATCCACTGGATGCATCACCTCGTGACACGCGTTGACCTTGTTCATGCTTTGTACTGGAGATCCGTATTCACTCAATAAGAGAAGTATGTATCTATGCAATACATCCATGATAGTACACTGTTGGAAGGTGAGGAAATGGTGTGAGTGGCCTGGGATGAGCTGAGATATACGCATAGGCATACAACCACTCCACTACCTAGAGTTCTCATCACATATGCATCCCACCGAAGTGACTAACCAACCGGAGGTCCTTGCATGGAGTTTGGCACCGACATATAGCATACTAGAGTATGCTGGTAAAGGTAAAGTACGCGTTGCTAGTATCAGACATGTATGCTTGTTATAGTATACTGCAGCGTCATAGTTTTGTTTCCTATCTGCTAAGTCTCAGCAAGAACACTCCGCCAGCGATTAGTGTAGGTCTCTCCATCTGTAGTCTACATAGATAAGTGTACACGTTGTTTATAGCACTCGATTAGTTAACAAGAATCCGTACTTTCGCTATGGTAAGTCCCAAAACAGCTGAAATACATATGTACACCCCGAACTGTGCTATAGAGCGATACATTTATTTAATCTAGGAAACGCTTTGCTTCGACTAAGAATGCCTCAGGGGCGTCTGCGTGCACCCAGTGACCAGCGTCCAATCCTTTGATCTCATAGTTGGAGAATAGCGCCTCAATCTCGGGCAGGAACCGCGGCTGAGTAGATAGAAGAACGTACGGCATATGAGGTACAACCAAACCAGCCAGTGTCAAGGGCAGTTCATATTAGTGGCAGGTAAATAAATGTAAATACATGTAAATAAATCCAAATGACAGGTAATCAAAGCTTTGATAGAATGAAGGTGTCTATGCCAGTGAAGTAGGGGTATATATATACATCTTCTCCAACAAGTCTAGGAACCGCGGCTGAGTAGATAGAAGAACATACGGCATATGAGATACATAACCCAACCAATCAGCGTGCAGGGGTATTCATATCAATTGCAGGTAATTGCATCTAAATGACAGGTAAACAAAGCTCTGATACAAGATAGAATGAAAGTGTCTGTGCAAGTGAGTAGGAAGATATAACTTCTCTAACAAGGTGCAGGGAACGAGTTTCATATTGGGTGTTGTGGGTGCCCAAAGTAGAGGACACGCCGAACTGTCTGCGCCAGAGCACAATGGTGAACAAACTCATATGCCTACCTACCCAAGCCTGCCTACGCTCCTGCACACTCCGTTGATGATCGTATAGGCACTAACTACTTGTAAACTTCATATGTGCGCAGTTCATTCTAACCTACTTCTCCCACATCAGAATAAAGAAATAGAGGCAACTGTAATGGTCTCTCGGAGTTGTACCAGCGTATAATCTTATGGTAGTAAAGAAGCGTAACGTTCTCGCATATAGCTCAGCTTATCACTCTGTAAGGACAAGCTCAGACACAACGCACGAAGCACAAACGATCGTAGTTAATTGCATATGCTCTGGGGAGGAATTCAGTACTACCCCCCTATGGTAGACGCTGAAGCTACCGCTAGTACTAATGCTATAACACATACACACATTCAGCTAAGCTACCACTCACATAGTAGGATTACCTGATAGTCATGAGACTTGTTTCCCGTGAAGAAAAAGGGTTTACTATAACCCACCCACACATTCAGCTAAGCTACCACTCACATAGTAGGATTACCTGATAGTAACGAGACTTGTTTCCGTGCAGGAAGAGGGTGAGGCCGTCGAACGGTTTGTTCTTAACCGTCTCGGGGAATTCTGTACAGAGAAATATAGAAATAGAAATATATATGAGACTCACTTCAACTCACTCGTATAGCCGGTACCATATTTGTATATTACATTACCAGGCTACCGTAGGACACTTCGGTTTTATGTTATATACACTACCTCATACAGACTGTACCAACATAGAATGCATTACCAGGCTACTATAGTACACGTATATTTTATAATATATCCATTGCCTCGAACTTAACGCTACAGTGCCGTACCTCCGCCGGTCCAATATTGTTATTAGAAAACTTGAGTTGGAGCTAGCAACTGCAATAGCACTAGACAGGTATTATCCTCATGTGTGAGCCACACTCAGAATAGCATTCGTCGCGAAAGGAAGAAAGTATTCGCAAGCCTATCACTCTCACACACACATATATATATATATATATATATATATATATATATATATATATCGTGTGTGTGTGTGTGTGTGTGTGTGTGTGTGTGTGTGTGTGTG